ATATATAGTAGATATATAGAGATATTATAGATATATGTAGATATAGAGATAGAGGGATATATTCTATATATATATATATATATATATAGATATATGTATATATATATATGTATAGGCTTATATATATATGTATAGACTATATATATATATATATAATGTATATATATATATATATATATGATATATATATAGATATATATATATGTAGATATATATATATATATATATTAAAAATATTCTGATGTATATCTCTATATATATATCTATATATGATAGATTTATTATATATATTATATATATATATATATCTATATATATGTAATATATATAGTATATATATATAGATATATATATATATATATATATTATATATATATCTATGTCTATATTAATGATATATATAATATATATAATATATATTAGTATATATATATAATATATATATATATATATTATCTCTATATATGTAGGTTATATATAATATCTATATAATATATATATATAGATCTATATATGTATATTATAAAGCTATATATATATAGATATCTATATAATATGATGTATATATATATATATATATATATTAATATTGTATATCTTATATCTATATATTATTAGTATGATATCATCTATATATCAGATCTTGTATATATATAGAATATAGATATAGGTATATATATATATATATATAGTAATATGATATATAGATATATCTTATAATAATATATCTATATATAATATATATATGTATATATATATATATATGTATAGATATATACTATATATATATTATAATATGTACTTATAATATATAGATAATGTTTATATACATATATATATTATAAGACTTATATATATATATATATATATAGATATAGAATAATAGGTGTATAGATAGTATATGTGATATTAATATATAGATAGGTGTAATAGGATATCGGTGTAGATCTAAGAGATATAGGAGGATGATAGATAAGTGTTTTAAAGAGAATAGAGTTATATATGATGGTGTAATTGGAGAGAGCTAGATAGGTGGAGATAGATACTATATATCTATAGCTGATCTATATATAGATGGTAGATAGGATAGAGATGCTAGATGTGTAGATACTATAGTAGATAGATAGGGGTAAGTATAGAGAAGATAGGGTAGATAATAGCGAGATTTCTATATATGTGGTATATCTATAATGTAGAAGGAGGTAGCTAGAAGATATATGGGTATCTGGTATATATATATGGGGAGAGATAGAGTATCGATTAGTAGATAGAGATGTCGATAGATCGATAATATATGATAGAGAGATATCTAGAGAGATATATATCGAGGTGGATATAGCTATATATATGTAAGATAGAGAGATATATTATATGTAGATATTATATATAGATATATAGATATATATAGATAGATTATATATATATGGGCTATATAATAGATATATGTGTAGCTAGATATAATATATGTATAACTGATATGATATATATAGAAGTATACATATGTAGATTATTAGAGAGATTGAGAGATATATAGATATATGTATATATAATATATAGGATCTTTATCGATATATATTATATATAGAATAGAGGTATTAGATATATAGATATATAGATATATATAGATATAGGGATATATGATATATATAGATAGATATATAGATTATATATGTAGATATCTGATATAGGATAGATTATAGAGATAGATAGATATATATAGTGTATATAATATATAGTATATATATATAGATGGATATATAGATATATTGGATATAGATCTAGATATCATAAGATAGTATATATATATCTATATGTGGAGTATATGAAGTGGAGATCTATATGGGGAGATATGTATAGGAGTAGTATAGATAATATTATGGGAAGACTTAGTATAGCTAGAGAAGAGGATAGAGATAGGATATGTATATTAGAAGAGATAGGGATATCTTATAGATATATAGATAGAGATAGATGGGGAAAAGAGAGTAGATGGAATCCTATATATTAGATATATATAGATAATGTATAGGGGTAATGATAAGATATAGAGAGATCTGATTAATAATATGTGTATCTATCTATATATATAATTATATGTATATATATATATATAATATCTTTATATATATAATATAATATATATTGTGATATATATATATATATAATTATCTATGTATATTATCCAGTCTATATATCTATATATATAGATTATGTGTATCTATCTATATATATATATATATGTGAATATATATATATATATAATATATTAATATATTATGATATAGTGGTCTATATGTAGAGGAATATATATAGGTAGAGAGATATGATATAGATAGTATCTAGTATATAGATATATATGTATAGTATATAGTGTGTATATAGATATAGGTATAGAGATAGGTAGATATGGCGATATGTATATATGTATAGATTAGATAGATATATAGAGTATATAGATATATCTAGATGATATATATTTATAAAAATATATATATATCGA